AGGACATCTTTATCTACTTCCTCTCCTAACGTGGAGAGTTCATAGGACTTTCTCACTGATGCATGAGAAGTGGCAGCTTCAGCTAGTCTGTTACAACTGGAAGCCTGTTACTCTTCTATGTAAATATCTGGGTAGTTTCAGTCAATTTATTACTAAATATTTTTGTATTTTTCACAGAAAAGGTTTGGGGTTGAAAGGGACCTTTGGAGACGGTCCAGTTCCACCTCCTGCTCAAGGGTCACCCTCAGCACGTGGCCCAGGACCACGTCCAGTTGGGTTTGCAGCATCTCTGAGGAAGGAGACTCAGCAACCTGTCATAGGGCTCCGTCACCCTCAGAGTAAAGAACATGACTCCTCATGTTTGGACCTTCCTGTGCTTCAGTTTGGGGCTGTTGCCTCTTGTCCTGTCACTGGGCCTCACTGAAAAGAGTGTGGCCCTGTCCACTGGTATTTACACATAGATGCCCCTCAGTCGCCTCCTCTCCAGCCGTTGCGTCTCAGCTCTTTCAGCCTTTGCTCATGGGAGGTTCTCCGGTCCTTAAYCATCTTATCAGCTCTTCTCCAGACTCATTTCAGTATCTCCATGTCCATCTACTAGGGGGGAACCTGGTGCTGGACCCTGCTGTCCAGACGTGGCCTCCTTGGGCCTGTGGGCAGCGCTCTGGCCTGTGCAGCCCAGCTTGCTGCCGCCAGAGCTGCTCTATAGAGAGGAAAAAAGAGTATGGCTTTCTTTTCATTGTGATAAGAAACCCTCTTCTGTCAAATATTCATTAGAATGATCACATTGCATAAAATGGCAATAATGAGTTGGTGCTCAGAACTTATGATTTAATTTAATGGCGAAAAAGTGCAGCTGGAAACGCTCAGTAAATGTTTTCATTCTACTTCTGCTAATGCTAATAAAATTCAGTATGATTCTCTATCTACATGGAGCATGCTAGAATAAATATCACATATAGTTTATCATATTCTGGTTACATTTCTTTTCTTCCTGCTTTCCTCTTTTTTTAACCTGATGTTCTGAGGATTTCCTTTTAGTGCCTACGAACATCTCCTTTTGACAGACAGTGCAAATTAAAAGATATGGTGAGGCAAAGGAAACTGGAACCCAAATATGCCCCCTGGGTTTTCATTTACAGTTAGAAGCTACAGACACAATTACAGCTGACAGAAATTCAGAAGCCAGTGGCAGAGTGCATGTGGCAGTAGACTCATGCCAGGCAGTAATTGGGAAGATTATTTTTAATCAGAGCATATCCTACAGCCCAAACATTAGAAATCTCTTGTAAGGCTGACAGGAAATTAAACTGAGACCAAACAAAAAAGCCTCAAAATAGAAGTAATATGGTTAGAAGTCTAATGATGGCAAAGCTCACTGCTTGCTGTGTTTGGCTGTTATCTAAAGAGAATGACTTTTAACTTAAAGCAACAGATAGCATTGTTTAATTGCATTTTTCAACAGAATTAAAATTAAAAGTATCAGATTAAATCAATTTTTGTGTGGGTTTTTGATCAAGGTACGAAGCAGCAGGTGTAAGAGTCAGACTGAGGAATAGTGTGTATCTATTAGTGCTCACTTTTATTATTGCTCTGGGCTTTTCACAATGCCTGAGGGAGCCACTTATCTGGGAAAAAAAATAATGTAAAGCCCAGGATACTCCAGGAATGCTCTGACCATGGCAACTGGTTAGCAAAGCTGCCCGGACAGAGCTGCTGCTCTCGATGACCCTGCAGAATAACCTCTGCCCGACGGGCTGCCCGGGCCCACGGCCTCGGGGGACGGGACAGCGGGATAACAGCTGTGGCTTTCACAAAGGCAGCTTTCCATCCCCCAGTAAATCTTGCGGCATTTTCTTCTTTGCAGGCCTAGTCCATAAATACAAGGCAGGATTTATTCTAGCAGACTCCCAAGTCTTCCTCCTGTTGCTTCGGTGGGTCAGGAAGGAAGGGCTGAGAGCTGCTGAATGGTACTTGCACGCTGAGCGGAGAAGGGGATGCCGCTCTCGTGTGCAGGAATCATCCACAAATGGTACAAAACCAAATGAAAGCCAAATATTTCTAATTGTACATTTCTTTTGTGTGACAGGATTTTTTTTCAACGTATATAGACAATCTTGATGTGGTCTCATAGCAGTATAAAGCATAATATGGTACAACATCAAACATCGACGTCCATAAGAGTCAACTGGGTTATCCTGTGGCTTGTCAGAACATGGGGATTTTCTTCACTAAATGTTTAGCTTTTGCCAACTGCAGGTCCTTCTGCTGAGAAATGCAGAATTTGACAGGGGTGACTAACAGGTCATGCGAATTGCTCAGATTGTGTCCAAGTAGCTGGATTGCAAATGAAGTCTAGTTTGTAATGAATGCAGCTCTGCAATGTTATATATGTGAGATCTCAAAATATGGAAATGCACTGTGTAAATAGCTAATTAATGCAACTTCATCAGTGTGTCTGCATAGTTCACAAGAGCCTGCAGGTGCGGTGTACGAGGAGATACCCTTAACTAGATTGCATTATGTAGGTCAAGTCTATTCTTGACCTACTATTGAGTATTTCTGTGTTTGGGAAGAAATCTTTATAACCTCCCTTTAAAGTTTGTAAATGTGCCTCTCTTCCTTTGCAAACACAATGACAAGAAAGTTACTTCTAGGCTGCTAGAGAAGGCAGAATGTAAGTGGACATCTACTGTGATTTTTCAGGTGCTTTTAGATCATTTGTTTTTGAGAAATCCTTTTTTTTTTTTTTTCATGTCGTAATCAGTTTGCTCTTTAAAATCTATATTGAGCCTAGCATAACTCTTTAACATTCCTATATGGAAGAAATTAAAGGGGATGAGTTAGATATAGTGCTTTAAAATAAGCCACAATGAATAATTACTCTGGTTAAATGTTACAGTCAAGTTAATCACTTTGAATGTAACTATTTCTTATGTGCTTGTTCTCATTTAGTACAGCATTACTTGCTAAATTATATACAACAGCATATTCTTCATCCTTCCTACAGCTATATTCATTTTTGGAATTACTGTACATTATGTTTCTGTGTATATTCTCAGTTTCCTCAGTCACCACAGTTAATAAATGCAGAATAAATGAGGACTACCAGGAGCAGCAGTTTGGACTGTCAGGTTTCTAAAATGAACGATAGGTCACATTATACTAAACAGAAAGTAGACTAGGACTGTATGGTCATATATGCGTTTTTCAGAGAATCAGAATTAATATCCTACTGCTTAAATGGGTTAGTAATTTAAACAGAATAAAGTCTGAAAATGTGTGCTTACATTTGAAAAATTACAATGATTTCAAAGTCTGAAAAAACGGGGCACTTGATGCAGAAATCTTGAGAGATTTATTTTTCAATTAGTTCAGTTTTGTTGACCATGAATGAATTTATGGTACTACAAGATGACCCAAAATTATAAGTTATTTTGAAGAGGTATGCATTTGGAAATAAAATAAAATTAAAAAAAAAAAAAAAGCTTTAGAGATTATTAAGAGATTCTTCATGTTATTAATTTACCTTGTCTTGTTCTCTGAGCTATCTTTGATCCTACACAAAGAAACAATACCCAGAAGACAAAGGCTGCAGTCATTTTAATGTACAGTTTATAAGCATATCCAGCCTTCTTATTCGAACTGCCTTTTTATAGTATTTTTGCATACACGTGGCTCATTTTATGAAGAAGRAGGTTGTGTCTTCAGCCCAGGAATTGATTACTGGGTTTGTTTTGGCAGGAAGAGGTTCAGTCGCTCTCAGGAGCTGTCCAAAGTAGTCCATGCTCCACGCGATCCATCCCCTCTACTCCCCGATATGCTCCCTGGTGTTGATTCTTACTCTTTCTGATTCAGATTTTTTTTTTTTTCACATTATTTCTGATAGTTGTAGTATAACCTAATATGCTTACAGCACATCTCCCTTTCTGGTTGTTCCTATTACTGTTATTTATCCTCAATTGCAGTAGGGACTCTACTAGTAACTGTTAATTTACTAATTTTTTTCTTCTTTAAAATGAAACAGTATGTAATATATTTTATGAAAAACAATGCAATATCTTCACTCTTTTGAATTTTAGTGGTGGAAAGGATAAAACAAAATATATTAAATTTATATATTGAATATTTTGGTGATACATGTCCCTAGTTTCTTTGAAGATTCAGAATATGTACAAGACTTTTATTTTCAAGAGTATTGATATTGGKAGGTATAGAATAGCACTTGCACATGGAAATGAAAAATGTGTGTAGGGAGAATCTGTTATGAGAAACATGGTCAAGCTTACTATAACTGCTAAAATCATTGAATAATTCAGTAAAATATTAGATGCCACCAGCTGCCCATCAATAAACAAAAGTGGCACAGTGTAGAATGTTACCCTGCCTTAATGTACAGCTATGTGCCTGTGTAATGCATTTTGGATGCCTCTTCTGTTTATATATTTTTATGATCATTTTTCTTTCACAAAATTATTTGAAGTTCACAGTTGAAAAATGCACACCAAGTAAATCACAGTTGTGTGTTCCTATTAAAATAGGAACATACTTTGGGGAAAATTTTGAGTTATAACTGGGCAAAAATGGCATAGTAATTGCACATCTGCTTTACTAGGTACATTCATCATACAGATATGAGGTTTAAGTATGAAGAAAAATGCAAAGTGCCTGGTTAGTTTTCTCCTCTTTTTTTTTATTGTCCATATCTATTGGATAAATAAATTATTTGCTGGTGTTTATATGTTGATAATCARATTTTGCTGTTGTGCTTCTGAATATAAGTAAAATGCCACTATGRCCCTATCATGTTTGTAACACTGTTCCCCAGTCCTCACATAAACATATGAGAGCTCAAATCATGTATTGTCAGTATTGAACTTACAGCTTGCTTTATGTATTGTTGATAGATGCAGGGCAAATAAAAAGAGTTAAAATGCAAATGATTTCCTGGGAGTCTGTATTTTATGGCAAGGAGTAAGTCTCTTCCTTTTCCTCTTTCGCAGGAAACTCCACAGAAGTCCCATGCAAGTGGTGCCTCTTGTTTTCCCGAGCAGAGCCTGCTTTCTGTAAGTGTGCCCGTTTGCGCCTTTGGGTTGTTCTTCTGGCAGTTGGATGGCAGTGGTGTCCTCAGAAGGAGCAAGGAGATGCTGTGGACTTCCCAACTTGCCTTGCTAGCGCGGGCTCTTGAGATGCACCCAGTGCCAATACTGGGTGGATTGTCATTAGTCTTGGCCAAAGAGCCAATTTACTTGTGGCCAATTCTGTAAAACACAAGGAAATTTGTGTATAGATTAGTTCAGACCTTCTCCCCTTCATACAGCCATGAAAAATTCTTTTTACATTTCTGTTCCAATGCACCTGTAATGCCAGTATTGGGAATATAATGAATTAAGCTCCAGATTTATAGGGCATGTGAAAGAGTGTTGCTTTTGATTCATTTCTTTCTTTTTTCCTCCCTCAAAATAGCTTAAAATAGATATAAGCAATAGGATTTTCCCTTTCAAACTCTGTGGTGCCTTTTCRTGTTTGAAATTTGATTTTTTTTTCTTTTTAGTTGTTTAAGACATTTATAAACGAGTTATACTCTGAACCATATGAGTTAATTGCTTTTTAAGCAGAATATGTCCTTTGCTATGTCCTATATTATGTCCTTCACTTCTGATAGTAAATACGAAAGTATCAGAAAACAAAAGAACCCTAAGTAAATGATACTGAGCAGATGGGGGCTTGGTACTCATTTTCCTCTAACATTTTTTGATGTGCTTAAAATAAAAAGCAGTGCTCCAGCATCTTTGTGTTGGGTCATAAACATGAATTGTGCCATGGCACAGCAGCAGCAGTTCTATATGGGAAACTGGAGTCAATTCTGTATCGAGCAGGATGAATAAAAAGGATAGATTTATAGTTATTCTTTTATCTCCTCTGCGTGCAGTAAGTAGGGAAGTTGCACATGTGTACTGACAAGATAATAGACCAGATTCACCTTCTTCATTCCAATGTGTTGCTATGAGTTGAGTTCCTCCCCTGCCCCCACAGCCTTGAATTCCTCACAGTGGAGGAATTCAATATACAGCCCTTCAGTCCTTGCTGGAAATAAGAATTTTATACTTAATTCTCCTACACCGGTTTTGTGCACAAAATCTTAATGACTGGAAAGAAACATTTCATTATTTGGAGAAAGCTGCCTGACTTGCCAGCCCAAAAAAAAAGAAAAAAAAAAAGTTCCTCTTGAAGGGAGATTTAAATCAATTCTGTTGTGCTAAACGTGCTTGTTGCTTTTAGCTTTTCCTCCATCAGGAACAGTGTTTTCTATCACCGAGCAGCCGTGCAGCTGTGACACAATTGACAGCTGATGATAGAAAAAACCTACTACAAAAATGCAAGAGTGAGGTTGGGGTTTCTAACCTGTGGGAGACACTGGTCCCTGAGATAATTACCGCAAYGGTGTTGGAAAGCTGACATTAATTTGTCTATGAATACAGTGCTTCGGTATCTATAAATGTAGATATTCATCTTGCTGCAGCACGCGAGAGCCGAGATTGGGGATATGTGACAATAAAGAAGCAGCAAATACTCATTTGGAATTTGGGAAGGGTTTAATGCTGCCAAATCTCTGTGTGCATAATTGGTTTTATTATTTTCCCTTGTGATCGGAACCTAACCAGCACAATGAATATCAATCAACTTCCCGGGCTAAGAGGTCCTTCTTTTTCCGCCAAGCCGGGAGCCGAGGCCGGGATGTTGCCTGGTAACGGGCTATGCAGATGAGTTGGCTCTTAAGTGCGCCATATGGCTGGGCGTTGTGCCCTATTCACCCATGACACGATGTACACATGTAGTACATTGCTGATTAGAAAATGGTTTGTCCCATTCCCTTTTTTAGAAGAAGCCTTTAAAAATAGCAATGCGAGTGCGGCGCGGACTTGTAAGATTAGGGCGTTCTCTGTAATGGCATTTCTGTCGTAAGGAGCAGCAAAGGTACARTAATCACCCGGGATTCGTTGCATGCTTCACAGCAATTCCAGCATTGTTTCTAGCTAGGGTTCTTTTACAGGCTTTTGTCTGGTCTGTTTGAGTACGTCCATATCTATGTTCGGGTAGATGTAATTTTAATAATTCCATCGCAGAGGAATCCTATGTTTTAAATGTTGGTTTTCTATTGCAGTTGGTTGATTCTAGTTGAGCACCTATGGATTTGTTGAAGTTTTGAGTGTCTGTTAGTTGCATGGTGCAACCAAAGCAGCCCTGCATTGAGCAAACCAATCGGTAAAGCAACACAAGGCAGCTCTAGCAAGGAGCTACCAAGACTGAGTATCACTGATGTAGGAAACGCAGTTGCTCCGAGCGTACAGCGGGAAACCATCACGAGGAACGAGTTGCCAGAGCCTTTGTGGGAAGTTTGTAGCAGAACTGTATATCAGCCCCACATTGAGGTAGTCCTAATTCACTCCTTTAACGAAGACATTGTTCCTGGTCTGTCATCGTAAATTGATATTCATTAAGGTGGGAGGATTCAGCTAAAAGGTCTTCAGATGATTTAATTTCCTTATAGCAAGTATGTGGGATGCTGCTTTAGACAAGAAAAATATGTCATGATCTCTGTGCTCTCGCTCTCAAGTGGCAGCGAAAGAGGAGAAGCGAGAGGTGGGGAGGATGCTGTGTGTTTTGGCAKCACTGTGTGCGTGGGGAAAGGCCAAGCTTGGGCATTAGCAGYTCAAGGGAGGTTCCTGTGCTCATCCCTGCACTTGGCTGCTTCGGGAAGAGGGATTATTTTGCCCAGGCCTCTCCTAAAGGCGACTATCTTGCCTAAAATGATAATTCTTCGGCGAATAAACCATTTCTTGGTGACATGTCAGCATAAGTGCTCTAACAACATTTCAGCAAAAAGGAGGAGAAAGCTGTTGTGCTTTTGCCACATTTTTTTTTAGAGCTGTGTTTCCTCCGTAGGAAGTTTTTACAGGCACTTCTGGAGAGAAAAGCTCTGGATGCTTGTCCGTTTTATCAGTTTTCCTTCATCAGTATGATGCACAGAAAGTACAGATTGTGCTTTGGCTCGTGGCTTGATAAGCTGCTGTGGGTAGCAAGTTCATTTACTATCAGGACTGTTTGGGGATAGAATTTTTAAAGCAGAGCAAGGATGAGCAATTGATGCTGCACCAAGTTATTCCAGTAAACTTATCCTCTGTGCAAAGGGCTCTGCGGCKGCCTTTGGGAAGAGCTGCTCCTAATAAAAACAGAAAAATAGCTGTTGTTGCCTTTAAAATATTTTATTCACACAGATGATGGATCTCTTTTTTACCTCTTTTTGCATGCATCTTTTAAAATTGTTAAATACAACAATTTTTTCTGCCAGAACAACATAGCATACCCCYGAGGATCCTGATGAGTGGAGTGTGACCTAGGGATTGCTAAATGAGAAGCCTGAGCAAAATAATTGTGATAGCAGATGCTTATGAAATACTTTAATTCTCTTAGAAAGAAGCCAGTATTATAATCGGTCTCTAATGAATTTAGAAGGAAAAAGATGTCAGTGATTTTCTAATTGTTCCTTGTGCTGTATTCTGAAATATTCTGAAATATTCTGTGTATTGTAATGCTGTTTTGGTGGTAGCAGTAGTTGAGACCTGTCACCATATAAATGCTACTTGAATCAATGCTAAAACAACCCCCTGCAATAAGTTATGATGCCTAGATTGTAAAAGGGCAGTTTTCATATGTTTGCGTGAGTTGCTGTGAGAATATCTGCTTTTGATTAGCTACTCATTTCCCATAAACATCATCTCTCTCTGTCAGTGAAGACAGTCACTGTCCTTGGTTACTTAGGGCTCCAAGGTAGCACTAAGAGATCACTAGTATCAGTTATTATCAATTATTATATAATTATATATAAAATATAAATAATATAATAATTGATATTTTAATAGAAACTATTAACAATTGTTATAGATATTAATATTTATAGATACTATAATTTAATATAACATTATAGTATCTATAGATATTAATGGATATTAATAAATGTAAACTATACATTTATTGAAGGGCTTTAAGCAGATGTGATAACATAAAGTTTACTGAAATGTAAGAGGATGCAATTTTTGAAAAAGAGAGACAGTCTTGTAACCCAAGTGCTCTTTGCAAATACCACCCTGGAGCAGCTCCACTCGGGGGGTTAGCTTTGCTCTTCTCTCTCTGGACTGTGCACAAATGGAGGTGCAAAGAAAGAAAAATCTAYTCATTTCTTCTTCTCCCCCTTCTTGGCTTCTAACAATGATGAATTCCTCTGTGGACTTTCCAAATTCTCCATCTTTGTGAACAGCGACTTGAGGCTATTTACTGTAAGCTAGACAGGATGAATACGGACCTGAATATATTGTATGAAGCAGCCTGTTTAGTGATACTATTGAGATATTTCCTTTACAATTATAACGTTGCAGACCCTTTCCCATTCAGATCTCTACTATGCCGATGTGAGGAATACTTCCCTGTGTGTGTGAACACATCTTGGAGCATTTCTGCTGGATACCCTCCAGGTTGCAGCAGGAGGACAGTTTTGATTGAGTCCATTACCATAGTGTCGTGGCATTTAGCAAATATCAAGCACAGAAAGTTCCTGGGAGGTTAGTTGGTGTTATTACCTCCATATCACAYGAGAAGACACTAGGAAATTGAGCAGCCTGACTGATGGCCAAAAAAAAGGAGTGTAGCAGAGCCAAGATTTCAATCCATATTTCCCAAATACCAAATCGTCACTGTCCTTACTGGGTCATCCTTCCCTCTTCTCTCTCTATAACACAKTACCTTTTAGGGTTAATGATTTCTACAAATAACAAGTGAAAAATAACTTMCAATTTCATGCTCTCTCCCATCTCTTAAGAAACTGAAGTTTTTCTTCAAGAAAATCACTCCTTGCAAAGCCCTATCAGCATAGCTCAGAGCTAATTGAAAGGTAACAGTTCTCATGATGATCCGGGCCATGCCAAGGGATGTTAGTGCTCCTTAATAGAGATCCATGCTTGATCCTTCATTTTCCTTGAGGAGCTTGCAGACTTCTACAACTCCGTCT